TCCATCCATCCATCCATCCATCCATCCATCCATCCATCCATCCATCCTGGAGCCTATCCCAGTAAATTGACGATATCATAGATAGATTCATATCCCTTTTTCATGATCATTATATGTGTTAGTCCATTTTGTATTAGATATTTTTTCTTGTGGTGCTTAAACTTTACTTGTTGAATGGTTGCTTTGTATAAACAAAAAAAGAGTCCTTAGAGGATAAACAGGGAGCTGGTGAGAACACAGTAACATTCACTTTACTCATTTCGACATACAAAAAACACCTCAGGGCACATAAAAAGTATCTGAAATAAATGCCGCTCTCTGGTAGTTACGTCCCGCTGAAAGGCCGTGGGGCACGTTGGCCTGCAGGCACCAGATGCTGCAGCGGCCTTTGTTTTGGGAGAGAAAAACCCCTCTGTGAGCTGGCAACAACTCGTGCTTGCCCCGCATGTTTGAGATCTTCCCCACGGAAACCTCTTCCATGACTTTAAAGGCTAGTCTCAGCGATAAACTGCCGGCCTTGTTCATTTCAGCTTTTGTTGCTTATAAATTAAGAACGTTTTAAGCAGCAATGCTTTAAAACGTTTTGTTTGGCTCTAAAATCTCGGGCTCTCTTAATATGAATCATAAATTTGGCAGAATCACATCAGTGAACAGCATGAAAGCCACTTTATTAATTTCCTAGAATAGTGTAGAGCTTAAAAGTGTGTGTTAGCATGTGTGGTGAGCGTGGTATTTTAAATGAGAGCAAGCTTGAATTATGACTAAAGGGGCCTTCATAGACCTGAATGTGTTTTGTCTGAACAGACACTGCCCCCTGTTGGTGGTTGTCCGTCATTGCAGTTGATGTGATTGTGGTAACTTGGACTTTGCCTAACATAGAGGAGCTGCTTACCATGACAATTCATTTTCTCTTCCATATGACTGTAGCACCACCGTTAGATTAAAAATAAGTCACTAACAAATTCAACCAGAACGGAGCCGTGTTACAACTCACCACCAAAAGGTCAAACGTCTGATGCACAGTTATTTTTCTGGATGGTTTTTAAAGCTTTTATTAATTGTATATGTTTGATAAAATCGTTTTAGGCAAAACCCAAGGCTTATAGGTGTGCTGTTTTAAAACGAAAATTTAAAAAAGTAAGGATACTTAATTGGTAATAATGAGGCCAGAGCCACTTAACTTTTTTTTAGACATAAAATGGTCAAATTGAATGTAGAGGTTTACTGGTGCTGATCTATTTGGTACATTTATCAACATTATGGTCTGATTTAAAAAAAAAATTCGCCTCAATAGGTTATATTGTGTCCGTTTATAATAAACCGGTGCAGGATAAGAGGGCATCCTCACCGCCTTCTGCCCCTCTGCATTTCGAATTTCGGACGCTGTTCTGCGCTCTTGCACCATGTGCGCGCAGAGCCCGTCCTGCCCCGTAAAACGCGCTCTCTCTGACAGCCCCGACAGTCCGTTTAAGACCACCTCAGGAAGCCACTGTTCAGCATTTGGGTGCTGACGCCAGCCCCTGAAGACGCGCACCGGCAGGACGCGCACCGGCATGGGCGCAGCGCACAGACGCTGCCGGGACTGGGCTGGATGGGGATGGGGACCGGTGAACCGTCAATTCCCGTTTGACTGCTAGCTTTAGGGCGGAAAGGAGCAGGCTGCTGCCTGCCGGTGGTCCGTTTGCCGGCCGGAGCAGGAAGAGCCCCAACAGGACTGAGAAAGAAGCAGGAGACTCAAGTCCGGGAGAGTGGATGAGAGCGCGCTGCGTTATTTGGAGCTTTTGACCGGACCGGTCAGACTGAAATGGACGGACTCTGAACGCTTTGTAGTGATTAAAGGTGCTGACACCTACCAGGCATCATGAGCAGACCAACAAATGGTAAGCAATTTGTTGGTGTGTGTGTGTGTGTGTGTGTTTTCAAAGGAGTTTTAAAGGGTGGGTTAGGGGTCTATCCTATCAATATTGATGTCCTGGGGAGGACAACTGTCTCCATTTAAACAGAGGAAACCTGCAAGCTGGTCAGTGCGTTGAAACGAATGTCTAAATATAGAAGTACATATTTTGTTAATGTAAAACCACCAAATCCCCAAACTTATTTTCCAGTAAAAGATTCATGAGCCTGATGCTGGTTCAGGATTGTGGGCAGGTGCTCACTCCTCCATGCAGCCTCTCAGCTTATACTTCCCACCTGAGGGAGATATTCAACCTTATAAAAGCTCTGGAGGGGATAAAAAGCTGCAGATCTAACGCCGTTACAGGAAGGCAAAGGAGCTATTAACTCACAAGGTCACAGGTCAGAGGAAATATGTCAAGACTTAAGCATGAATGACTGTGACTGAAGACATTACAAAGAGAGATGGAGGAAAACAATAATGTTAATGGTAACATTTGAAAATGCCAGACAAGAGAAGCTTCCAAAATTGAACGAAAATGACAAAACGGGGGACCCAAAGGGAAAGCTGAAGCACTGATGCACTCAAAAATGCTGACGAGCCAAATGTCAGCCAGCTTTTCATCAACATCCATCCATCCATCCATCCTTTGCCCTCACTCTCAGCAGGGTCACAGCGGGGGGGGTGGGGGTTGGGGGCTGAAACCGGTCCCGGCTGACTTTGGGCGAGAGGGTAAACCCTGGACAGGTCGCCAGTCCATCACAGGGCCACACAGAGACAAGCAACCACACACACACACTTGCATTCTCTCAGGGTGGCAGTTTAGTGTTTTTGGACGGTGGAAGGCAGCCAGAGTACCTGTTGGAAAGCCACCCAAACAAGGACAGGGCATTCAAACTCCACACAGAAAAGTCTCGGTTTCTCCCAACAGTATAAAAAAATAAAAAAAAAATAAAAAAATGTGCATTCTCTTTTTTAAATAGTATTTAGTTGAGTTGACTTGTAGGTTTATAGGTCCATTTTAGTTGCTTTTGATGATTTGCCAAACTACGGTATCCTGTTTTTAGACACTACACAGAAAACTCACTGGACCCTTCATAGCACACACACAACTATATGTGGCTTTCAGACCTGCTATTAATAACGAAGATGCACGAAAATAACACATTTGTCTCGCAGACCCTCACAGGTGACTCAGATCTGTCTGTCTGTTGTTCCAGTCCTTGTTCTGCCATCTGCCTACAGAACCAGTGCCAGCCTCTGTGACACACACACACACACACACTTACACACATCGTGAGGATACAACGTTGTCCCTTTTTTTCTCGTTTTCATTCTACAGTGAACATGTATCTCTGCAGCTCTTTCTGTGTGTGTCCCCTTCCCGCTGTCATCAGCTTAACCTGTGAGCGTGGCTGCTTTGATTGCATAACACTGGGACGCAACAGTATTAACAGAATACAGTAGATTTGTCACTCAGACTGTTGCACAATGCGCCGAACACTGCTGACTCTTTGGAAGTCAAAATGAAAAGAGACACAATAAAGTAAATCTATCCGTTCAAGTTATCTTTTGTTACGTCACCCTGTAACGGCAAAGACAAAAGGGGAACTTGCACGATTGTGTTTGGGACAAAATAAAGAAAGAACTTGTCTCACTAAGAGGGATTTGACCGGTTTCATAATCGAGGATGAAAGAAGTTTAATCCCAAAAAGATCCCCCGTGACCTTTTCTATCTCTAGTAGCACGTATATCAGGATTATTCAAAGCTTTACATAAAAGAAAAGTTGCAAGTTGCAGTGCATTTATGTGGAAAACGTTCAAGGTTCTCTTGGGAGTGAACATCCTACCAAGGTCAGAGCATTCTTACAATGAGAAATTACAAGCTATCCACCTACAGCCGAGCATGTTAAAGCTACTAACTGTTCAAACGTAAAAAGACTCAATGAGTATGGCTTTGTTTGGAGGAATGCAGGAAAAAGTTGTCTTTTCTCATGTAAATAACAAGTCTTTCAACAAAGACTTGGCTTTAGATGAGAAAGGTAAAAATAAATAAATATGAAAGTGACATTTTTCTGCTCTTCTTCCTACAGTTCATTACCAATCTGGTCTCTACGGAGGAAACAACAATAGCAGCTCTCCTCTCTCCAGCCGTGGAAATTCTCCCATTGTGTGTGAACGATGTGGGGAGGTTTGTCGTGGAGAGGTGGTGCGTGTAAAAAACATTCATTTCCATGTCCTCTGTTTCACCTGCCAAGGTAAGAAACAAAGTACAGAGACTTGCCTCTTTTATCAGCGCACATTATCATTTTCTCAGCACATACTGGCACTTCTGTCTCTGCACTCACACACAATGCTTTATATCAGATTATCCCCCAGTCTTTTACTAATGCATGGCTTTCAATGTGTGGATTACACCCAAATCAATTTGCTTGATTAAATATTGAATTATGGCCAGTACTCAGACAAGAGGGAACCTGCACAATTGAAACATTAGTAGCCTCTGTACTCACTGAAATAGAAGCCTAACTATGACTAAAGCAGGATTAAAGCCAGGATGTAAGCCAATTACAAAGTGTATTATGTGTGAGAAACCGAAAAAACCCGGATGCATCAGAAAATGTCTAAAGACGACGTGTAGAGTGTCCACAGGACTTAAGAGAGCTGGACGGAGATCAGTGACCAAGAGGTGACCAGGATGAAAGTGTACCAAGCCCAGAACAAAACCATGACTTTCATAGGCTGACATCAGGCCATGGGGGGGTTGAGAAGATTTCCAAAGAATGGGAACAGTAATCTAAAATAACACCCTGAAGACACAGCCGTAATATACATTTAACTATTGTTATACATGTTTTTAGCAAGGATGTTCTTGTCCACGTATTGTGCGGACTGAATAACGATCTGGTGAAGAGTGCTGGCGAAAGTTTTACGGAACTCTCCACATAAAGCTGAATGTGGTTATGTACAGTACAGATGGACTTCAGAAGCTGGACATCTGCTCACAGTCTGTTGGAGACATTTCCGACTTCCTCTTGTGTCTTTCCTTGCGTGCGGGTAAAATGATGAGTTTAAGAGCAATGACAAGATTTCTCACCATGAAGCGAGTTATTGGTTGCGTTTCACACTGGAAACCAGAATATTAGATCATGCACTGGAGAAACAGTTTTTGTTATATGCCGTGTTGTTGTATGAGGGTGTACAAAAGCAATAACTGGTAATGACCATGAAATGAGTAAGTTACATTTAAAGAGAATCCTTCAGTGTGACCATGAACAGCAGTGGGGAGCAGAGGATGTTTATGTGTGATTATTCTTAACAGGGCAGAAAACATCCCCAGACTCTTGTTCTGTTTTATGGAAAACATGATCAATTTTTGGATTTGATAGCAGCAACGCTTCTTAAAAACTGGGCCATGTTTATCACTGTGTGGCAGATGCTTCTTTTTAACAATCAAAACCCTCCAGGAGCCCGGAGGACCAATTGTTAGAAGGTTAATCTTGTCTCATTTTTGTTTGACACAGGATTCTAGCTGCCCAATAGTTCTGGGACTCTTTTTTTTCACAGGATCTTCATAAACTCTGAAAATTCGTGAATTTGGTGAAAGGTCTGAACTGCTGGAAGGCCGGTCCATTAGACTCTTTTACTTTAAAGCAATGCTGTTGCAATAGATACAATATGCAGTTTAGCTTCATTTTGCTGAAATATTCAAGGGCCTCCCTAGAAAAAGACCTTTGAGCTTTGAAGACGTCTTTTAAAGTGTGTAATCTGCCAGTTCTATTGACACTAACTATACCAACAGATGTAGTCTTTGGTATTAAGTGTTTAGTATTGAGCATTTTCCCACCTTCACTTCTAAGTGACACTACTTCTACAAGGTGCCTTTTTGATGTGAATTCTGAGGTGTCTTTGCAACCCATTTGAAATAACCTATAAAAAAAACTAATTTCACAGAGAACTGGTTGTAGATTTCTATCCCTTGTAAAACGTGTTCATCTGTTAGATATAAATAATCGTAGTAAGCAAAAAAAGGCTCATTCAGGAGCAGCACATCGCATACTGCTGTTGGTGGCGAGCCTTGTGTTTTTATCCCTGTGTGAGTATTAAGTGGCTCTCTTCATTCCCTGAAAGTTATTTCCAGGCAGTAATAAATTCTTTGTGTACACACATATTGCTTTGACAGCGTGCTGCTCATTCTGCCACTTTTCAGTCTTCCAAGAGCCTTCCGCTTCATCAAACACTTCCCCCTCCCAGATTGTCAGAAGCGATAGAACAGAGTCTGATTCCAGATTCACAGTTTAGTCCAGTTATTGCATTGAGTAGATATAAAAAGTCAATTGGTAGGAGACAATAAAGGATATATGAGAACAAACACAACATGAGCAGAGACATGATATTTACATTGTGTGTTAAAAGGACAAAGGTCTATAAGAATATTTACATTTACATTTTTCATCTAAACTCAAAGTACACTGCAGCTTCCGGATTTTTTTCTTTTAATTGCTCGTATTGAAGTTGGCGAGGCAATAGCTGCACTTAAATTCATCAGGCGCAGGAAAAAAGGCTCTCATGTTAACGTGAAATGAAGAATAAATCTTTGTGTCCCTTGACTGGCCCAACTAACCAGCAGATAACATGATTTAATGATAAAACCCACAGCATAGTAACCCTCTAGTTTTACTTTTTTTGGTGCATCCACCAAATTCATGGAGAACTGGTTCTTTTAACATTTTGTGTTTTTTTTTATGCCCTATTGTGATATTACATATTACCTATATATAACCTTTCTATGTTTAAACATCTCCACTGGTGAGCAGATGGGGTAGAACACATGAAAAGGGCTCTGGCCTCAGCAGCTGGCTTTTGCAGTGCTATCAGCAGGTTTTCTGTCCATAGTCAGACTCCACCCGGCTAACCTCCTTTTACAGGCTGGGACCTACACAGTCCCAAAGCGTGCTATAAGACATCACATTTGTTCTGCCACAGTACCCTCAGATTTGATCTCATGCAGTGTCCCTCGCACGGGATCTTAAACATTCCAGGAGATAAAAGGACATCTTGGTTGTGTGCGTTTGGATGAATTATTGATCGGCCAGTTGGTTGATTTTTTGGATGTTTGCTCACTTCAAACCCTCATTTCTTGTGACAAGACAAAGCTAGATTAATTGGCGTAAGTGCCCTGCCTCTGATAGCGAAGTATGCGTCATTATGGACACTTGATCTTGCAGCGCCAGCTTAATGACTTTAAGCTAATAGACTGAGTGGACATGGGCTGATGAAATGGACAGGAATCAAATCGTCAGCTTTTAGCACACATAGACATTTTTGTTCCTTCTCTTCTTATTATCCTCCCACCGCCTCCCCCGCCGTCACTTTCTTCTCTCACATTCTTTGTTTATTGTTTGCGTTGAATGTCAGAATTACAGTGCATCTTTGTTTGTGGAAAAACTACATGATTGCTGGTTAGTTGGGCCTTTCAGAGCTGAAGAGGGTCTTTATTTGGGAACAAAGAGACAAGATAGTTGATGTTCTGCTTTCCCAAATGGTTTGAGATGTTTTTTTGGCACCTACTGCAGTGAACAATGAATGTGGTGGGTCTTAAAAGTCAAACTAATACGTTGTATACCAGGAAAGTTCTCAGTTTTCGTAATCAAATTCTTCATAGCTATTGTATAAACTTATATTATCATTAGGTAATAATCACATTGAATAAATGGAAGGACAATATTTAGTGATGTTATATGTTGTCTGCATTTTGGGATGTTGTTTATGTGATAAGAAAAAATATACAGTTTTAGTTAATTCATAACGTTATCTAAGGGATGTTATTTTGTGATATTAAAAATCCACCGATCAGCCAAAGTAGCTGCCTTTTTTTCAGGCCACAGCCATGTGATCACTTTGGTTTCCACCATCTGCTGCAGATCTTTTGGATTCTTTAGGTTGTGGTGTTACACACCTGTTGTGTTGTGGTACGTTGTTTGAAAGGGATAGAAAGTTCTGAGGATGTGACAATGCTTCTTTTGCATTCTGGTTTGATACGTTTGGCACATATCAAGCACATTTATGTGTAAAAATGGGCTTAATCTCATACTGTCCAAACTTTTGGCTCCCTTTCCTTGTCTTTGAGTCCTCTGTCCATCTTCACCATGCAATTTGGGGACGGCAACGGCAAGAAAATCCAACCTGTGTTGGTGATTCAAATTGCGGAGGGAAAAGAGGGGCAGGGTGGCAGATGTGTGCTGGATGGACAGATCGATAGACTCATTGATACCTCCCTCGGGCCTTTCTGTCTCATCCCTTCACTCCGCTGTCTGCTTCCCCTTTCACATCATATATGGTGCCCTTTCACTCTTCTGCTTCCGCTAATCTGTCCCTCGACTCCCATCTTGCCTTTCATTATTTTTTTCCACATCTTGTCTCAGCTTCAGCTTTGACATAATTCCCTGTTCCTTCCATGAAAATGTAGCCATGCGCATCATCCATGACCGCGCAGCATCACAGGCCGAGAAGAGCCCGCAATCTTCCTGTGTGAGAGACATTTAATAGTGGAGCTTTTGAGACCATCTGCCAGTGGACAGGCGCCTATCCTTGTCTTTAAGTTGCAGGTGTTTCCCTCTTCTCAAAATGATTTAGAACAGACATCAGTGGTTCCATCTTATGACATTTAGTATGAGGACTGACCCACTTTGGGGTAAAACAAATGTGTGTTTCCAAAGAGACGCGGGCCAGGAGGGGGGGACTCTGTATTTAATCTGTGTTAGTGTTTCAGTCACACATGGCTCGGTTCGTTTTTCCAAAAGACTTCAAGGACAAATAGTGAAATATTCACTGCTCCATCAGCTCTGCTTCACAGCATTTGCACAGAAGGTCAGTATCCCTGCGTCGTGTTTTTATGTGTAACCCTGAGCTACATAGCAAAGATGACTGTCAGAGTGTGTGTGTGTTTGTGTGTGTATGTCATCTGTCCTCCTGGAGGTCCTTTATTCAGTATCCGTCTTTATCAAATACTTTCTTCTTAAATATGTTTTCCTTTGCTTCGACATCTCGCTTCTGATAATAAAGAAACAAAACATCCTTTTCTCCCTTTCTTTCAAATTTGTTATCATCTTTGTCTACGCCTGCATCACTGAAGTCTTGCATACAGGCGTCAAACGTTTGTGATAGAAGACAGAAAAGGTGGGAGACTAGTGGATAAACCAAACTGATGGAGCAGGGACAGAAGATATCATGAAGCGGTCAGATATGTTAAAGTTATTTGTTTTGTTTATTTATTCATCCATATTATCCATCCTCAAATAGGTGTGCCACTATTCCCAATCTATGTGTGTGTATTGTTTTAAAAATGTTATTGTGTTATCAGTGATCAAGAAACCCTAAAACAGCAGGACCTCCTCATGTGAGTCTTCTTCAGATTTCAGAATATAAACTCAGTCCATTAGAACAAAATCATGTCAGTTCTCTATTCTCTTCAAGGTGTATCTTTTTGTCCTTTATTTTTACTGAAAGTGATGCCGAAGAACGGGTAAAAACAGCAACAACAAAGGCCGTGGGACTCCTGGGATCACTGATGCTGTCACAACAGATAGCTGACTCACTGGAGTCTGGCTGTGCTGCTCAGTGTGACGGAGATGAGGCTGGATTAGCCTCCAGATGGAGGTCTGTCACACAATTTTTAATTTAATCATCTCAAATCTCCTAATTTTGCTTTGAAGAAAGTTCAGAGGAACAACGTGAAATAACCCCGTGCCAACAAAAGACACGTTTGCCTTTTGATGATCTCTGAGAGGTGATTGATTAGCACCAAACACAACAGAAGTAAATCCCTGTTTACGGTGTTCTGCTGAGCGGACAGGTTTTACCGGGCTCCCGGCTGGTGCAGATTCAGCAAACAGAAGAGGCTAAATGTGGAAAAAACCTTCAGTTTGGGACAACAGGTGGCACCGGGGAGAATCACGTGCTCCTGAGATCTGGCTTGACAGGTCTGGCATTGAAGCATCTGACAAGCCTTTGACCTCCCTGAACAATGAGCTTCAGTCAGCAGGTTCAAGTGGAGGAAGGAAGATTTTGCTCAGACTGTCCATGAAAACACGGGCTCTCATATGATAGATAAAAAATAAAAGATGGCACATTCTCATTCATATTCCAGTGGCTCTCAACTTTTGCCGGCCCGTTATCTTCTATTAAAACGACGCCGCAAATGCATCCACTGAAATCCTGAGTCACGTTCCATCATTTCCGCTCGGGCGCATTTGTGTTCTCTATCATGCAGATAGGATTTACGAGAGGTAGTGTCACCATTTGTCAGTTTGGTACCCGTAGCACGGGCAGCAAGAAAAAGTTTTCAGCCAAATGAGCTGCTCAGTGAAGGTTTAATTAATTGTTTTAGACATGTTGACGTTCCCATGGGTTGCCTTTTTTTCTTTTCTTTTTTTGAACGCTTTGGAAATAATACTACATATAAACATAGTTGAATAGAGGCTGTCGTATACATCAAGAAAATGATCAAGGGTAACTTTTTTCCTGTGTTTAGTAAATACTTTTCCTGTAATATGGAGTTGGTAGTATAAAGATGTACACATTAATTCTGTCCATGAACATATCCAATTCTCAGAGTCTAGTTTGAGTAACCTGTTGCTAATTCACCATTAAAAAGCACTGTGTGAGTGAAAAATACTTTTGAAAGGCATAAATCTAAATTGAACCTAAATGAATGGCAAGTCTTAAAATGCAACCATAAGAATGAAAAAAAAAAGGTTTAATCAACGATGTGAACAATTTTTAGTTTAATAAGTGCATTCTGCCTCAGTATGTGCAGTAAATTAAAGGTGACTTTTTTATTTCTGTTTTCACTTTTTTTTTATTTCAGAGACCCTGAACAACAATTGCATTATGGAAACTCTAAAGAAATGTATATTCCTTGAAGGCAACAGATCTGAAAATCACCAAAGTCAAGTGGTGAAATCGTTTGTGGTTTCATGACTCACAATATAACTGATGCATGTTGGCGTGAATCCGTCTGAGGACACACAAACTAGCTCTGCTTCCATTAATAAAACTAGATATCATGAATCTAAAACTATTCCTTACATGGCTTCCATGAGAAAAGGCAAGGTGTACACAGATTTTGCCCATCAAACCTAGCTTTTGCTCTGCTATTTGAAATCCGAATATACCAGAGATCCCTCCAGAGGGACCAAGTCTCAACAGCTCCCCTTATTCCAGTTTGGACTTAATGTTGTTTCAATTTGGACAGTGATGAATGTGTGAATGCTATCAGCAGGGTGAGAAATGATGAGACAAACTCTTCCACAATCCTCCGGTGTGTCTGGGTCTGTTGGACACCGAGACAGGAGAAAGTAGTGTCCATGCATGTCTACGGCTTTCTTTTATGTCATCTTGTTTGAATTTTCGCAGTATATTCGCAGACAATAAAATATTGCCTTTTGAGGGACACTGAAACATGAACGGTTCGCTTGTTTTCGCTCGTGTCACAAGTGTATAGCTCTCATGTCTAAGTTCAGTTTACGCACGAGAATATTGATGCGAGTTGCAGGAATTGTAACTCTTCCTCTGTAAACAGCTTTAGTCTCAAGCAGGCGAATAAAGGTCAAGCTGGCATTTCAAAGTTCTGCGACAGCAGCTTTGCCACAGAAGAGCTGGAGGAAAACAAAAGATGCTCAATTCAGTGTTTCTGTGTTTGAGATGGTGTCCTACTTCTCATTTCCTGTAAGAGATTTTTCACTTCTGCATCTTGAAGCTAACTCTAGTGGAATGACAAATTATGATATTTTTCTTCTTTTCCTGGGGAAAAAATAAACATGTTCGCTTCGGTAATAATTAATCCCACAGGGATATTGCTGAAGTGTCAAGGAAAACTGCCTCACTTTTTTCTCCAAAAGAAAAAAAGAGATTTTAAAAAGGAATAAGTGCAAATAAAGAGGCAGATAATCTTAAGAAACTACCTCTCCTAACACAGTCATTGCACAAGGCTGTTGCCGTGGGCAGCACTGACGCTCTGGCCTGAACAAACAGAAGAAAAAAACCTTACATTTCATTTTTCTAATCATTATGTTGTACTGAGGATGTGCTGTTGTTGACCATGTTCAACAGCCTCGGCAACATATCAGTAATGAAATGTATTCAGTTTCTCTGGGGCATGCTGCCCTCCCCCCCCCACCCCCCAAAGAAAAGAATACTGCAAAGCATATTGCATTTTCAACACAACGGTATGCATCTTCTTGCCTCTTGTCATTGTAAACCATTATAAACATGGGACATGTTGTAGTATGACCAGAGCTGAATAATTGCACTATTAAATATCCCACGTAGGATCACAAAGTTACGATCCACTTTTGTAAATGCTATTCCCTTAACTGAAAATGAACTTGCTTGCTGTAAAGGTCTACGTTTGCATCAAGCACGGCTGTTTTACCCTCATACACGCTTCCTTGGATTCAACGGACAGTATCTGTCTGGCTCTTCCCCTCTCTCTGATCCTCTTAACACTCTGGCTTGGATCAGCTCAGATCCATTCACTCCGCTGGGTTTAGAGCCATTAGCTTAATTACAGAGTAGGCACTCAATTCGCTGTCAGATATCTTGATCTGTTGGCTGCCTTTCAGACATCTAACCTACATTTTCATTCAGGTTGTATCAAGGGCTACTCAGTATAATTTGGCATGTACCTGTATCCACCATGCTAGTGTCTATTTTAGTTTGTTTCAGTGACTTTTTACTCTGTTGTTTGCAACACTTGATTTCAATTTGTTCATTTCAATGTACTTTTCCGTGTATGTCGTGTAGGCCACATGATATGTAAAGGCTGTAAAACACAACTGGTGGGAGTTGAGACGCTGAGCTCCCTCCAGCTGGAGCAAATACTGGTTCAGCTCCTTTTTAAACTGCATAACTAACCACCTCCTCACTTTTGGCACAAGTGGAGCAGAAACAATCATTTGGCGGAAGGACACTGCATTTTCTTAATAAAAGTCATACATCACGCTGTCAGGACATATAGTAAACACACACACAGTGCACTTTTCCTTTCTTGGGTTTTCTGTCAAACAACACTGCCTACGTCAGTGCATATAAATGCACCTAGTTTATATAAACACAAAGTAGCTATTATCAGCTGGGCAAAATGTTTGCAAGAATATTTAAGTAATAATGCCATCCTGACGATGATTTGACTCTATACTAACTGAAATAGGTTGGGTTTCTCATAGTCTGTTTGACTGGTCAGACCATCTGCAGTTGGACTCAGTTTCCTGTTTAACTCTAAATAAGAACTTGTTGTCATTTTGCAGAACAAATGTGAGATTGTCCTGCAAAATATATTTGTCATTTAATAGAATCTAACCATCTTAAGCTGCTCAAGATACTTACTGTATATTTATGCATATGAGCAAACATCGGCAGCATATTGTGTATTATGAGAGGGGACAGTTCCAGTTCTAATCCCTACAGCCAGATTACAGCATTAACCCCTCAGAGGTCAGAACAGACATCAGATTGCGCAAATCCACTCCCGCAAACGGAGCACACACACACACACACACACACACAGACACACAGAGCTGACCTTGATTATTGTAACTGTGGAGGCCCCTAAATCAGAAGGTGAAACCTATTGGTCGGCGGATTTACGTATTTGTGTCAAACATGCCCGGCGGCTCCACGCGATACGCAGTCCCCCGATCACATATTAAAGTCATGTCGTCGTTGTAATCTTCACAGTTTGTTCACTGTAACGTGGGTCATTCCAAAGTGACAGGTTTCCCCCCTCGCTTTGTTCAGTGTGCGGCTGTGATTTGGTCCACTCGGGCTTCTTCCACCACTCTGGCGAGTACATCTGCACAGAGGACTACCAGCGGCTGTACGGAACCCAGTGTGACAGCTGCGACCAGTACATCACCGGGGAGGTGGTGTCTGCCCTGGGGAGGACATATCACCCGCAGTGTTTCGTCTGCAGCGTCTGCAGGTAGTGACTGCGTGTCTGGATCAATCTCTCGTGCGACCGAAAGGTGATGGGAAAAGTTAAGCAACTCACAAAAGTGAAAAGGAAAATCAATGCAAGATGGAAAAACTTGAACATCTGTCTGAGTGCAATCTCACACTACAAAAAAAAAAAGAAGAAAAAAAAAAAACTGCCAAATATACCTTATGATTATCATGCTAACCTGCATTTTAGAGCCATTTCCCCCCAAAATAAAGCAGTAGGGTTGAAAGTAGTCATACTAATAAAGATGGAAAATAAATATTTTTCTTATTTGCATCTACCTTTACGGCTCTGTCACATCAGTTTCCCTAGTGCTGCTGCATTTGTAACCTATAACCTATATAATCATAAATGGAAATGACATGAAGGCCCTTTAATTTTGGTGTTTGCATTCTCCCCTCAGGGACGGTGCAGACCATGCACATTGTAAAACCCGTGTTAAGAGAGGCTGTCTGCGAGGCCTTCATTGATTAATGTTGTCGTGAAGGTTTCTAGACAGTGGGATTAATATTTGAACATCATTGCAGATCAGCGATTGGCCAGAGAGAATCATCACACGTAGGAGCTCCGACAGCTACCCAACATCAGTGCTGAGCCCCTCAAAATTAAGAGTACAGACTTAAATTCTTTATATTGTCTCTCCCCAGCTGTTATCATTAACTTTGCAGCACACTGTGATTCCGCAGTCCGAGCAAAACTCTATTCATCTGTTTTCTCATATTTACTTATTCTAAGTAGGGTACGGGAGGACCGGAGCCTGTCCGCACTGTCATTGGGCGATAGGCCAGGGACAGCCTGGACACATGCCAGTCCATCCCAGACATGACCAGACAGACAAATGACACACATAAACATGCACACTCAATTTCACTCCCAGGGGCATTTTGTAATCACCAGTGAGCCTAACGCGCATATTTTTGGGTGGTGTGATAAAGCTGGAGTACCCAGAGAATATAAATGCTCTGAGTGAAACATGGAAACTCCACCAGGAAAGGCCCCTAGCTGGGATTTGAACCAGAAAACTTTGCAAAGCAGATCTCCAGCTCTTGAAATGTGATTGTAATACTCATCAGGTCTCTTTCTCGTTAATGTCAGGGGCAGAATAATGAAAAACCAGTTCACCTGGGTTACACTGAGAATATCCCATCTGAAACACGCGCTCCTAAATTATTAAATAATGGTTTTAATTGCTGTACTGTTTGCCAAGACCACAGCAAAGTATGCAGCTTACACGTGGGAATGATGTACCAGGAGGTTAGAGTGCTTGAGAAATTGTTATTTTTTTATTGTTGTTGTGAATTCACTCAATTTGGAATGTTTTTTATTAGCAATTATGCCTGGCTTTACGGGTCGTATGCGTGTGTCTTTTTGTTTTGCAGGAGTCCATTCCCGATCGGAGACAAAGTAACGTTCTGTGGGAAAAAGTGTGTGTGTCAGCAGTGTTCACGCTCTCTGAGCAGTGACAAGCCCGTCAAGGTCCACGGACCAAGCTGTAAGAAACAAACATGCACACACTAATATGATGGGTAGGATTTACAGGAGATTATAGATAGGAAGCAGGGGCGTTATCAAAAGACAAAACATGACGTGCACACAAGAAAATGACTTGGACAAAAGTGTGTTGTTTTGGGAAAAGGCTTGACTCAGTGATTGGCTTACTGAATTTTGGACAGAAATGAAGATTCAAAGCACTGAAAAGATAACTTTATCACATTTTGATGGCATCCTCATCATGGCTTTATTAAACGTTCTGAAATGATTTTGCTGTTACATATTTGTGATTCATCTCACACGTAGAGACCCTTCTTTTCCAAGAGTTGTACAGCACATGCACGTCCCCTGCAGCTTGTAAAACCCACACGAACACAGACGCTGGGCTGCTTCAGGTGGTCTTTTAGCCTTATTCCGGGAGCTCCATCTGTTAAAGAAATCAGCCCACGAGATGGGGATAAGGAAAGAGGTGAAGGAGGAGAGGAATGTAGAACTGCAGAGCCAATGGGCTAGAGAGGGCAGAGAGGGAGGCTGATAACAGCAAAGAAAATCCTGAAAATGCCCCCAAACATCTGTGTGTGCTCTCTCATACTGTAGCCCCGCTTCTGGTCTCTCCTCTGTTTCAGACTGCGCGGGCTGTGGGGAAGAGATCAAGCAGGGTCAGTCCCTGTTGGCTCTGGAGAGGCAGTGGCACGTCAGTTGCTTTAAATGCCGGACATGTGGCTGCGCGCTCACCGGGGAATACATCAGCAAGTAGGTGCCTGTGTACGTGACACAAATATGATCTGAACCTAAAGTTAGACAGACTGTGTTGTCTGCAGAGACGGGGTACCGTACTGCGAGTCTGACTACCACAGTCAGTTTGGGATCAGGTGTGAGGGCTGTAACAGGTACATCAGCGGCAGAGTTCTGGAGGTGAGAGCATCCGTTACTTCATATACATATTTTCTCTCTTTTTTCCATATGTGTGTATATGTGTGTGTTAGTATGAGCTTTTATTTTTTACTGGTAGAAGGAAGAAATATTAATATTCAAGATTTTTTTGTGTGTGTTTGAGTTCAAATGTGTGCGGGCTGGTCTATGGAAAGCTGTGAAAAAGTGCATCCGTCCGGCCTTAAATGACTTAAATCCTAGAAAACGGCAATTTTTTAGCTTTTTCTTTCTCATTCATTCTTGTCTCCATCACTGTTTTTCCTCTCTTATCATCACTTTGTCGTTATTTTCCAATTTGAGCCATCTTCTTATCTTCTCAGTTCATACATCCTTGCCGTTTCTACTGTTTTCAACTTCCTTTCTCTATCTCCCCCGCAGGCGGGGGGGAAGCACTACCACCCCAGCTGTGCCAGGTGTGCCCGCTGTCGTATGATGTTCATGGAGGGAGAGGAAATGTACCTCACAGGTAAGGGAAAAGAGCATAGCAGGAGAACTGTGGGTTTTTTTTTTTTGGGCTTATTTACTGTTGCAAAAAATGCGTGTGCAAACCAGATACAAAGGGTTTTCGACCGGCCAGATGGTGCCGAATTGTGACGTGATAATTGCTTAAGGAAATGGAGGCACTTCAGCATTGGTACAGTTTACAGGCATAAAAATAGACTTGGAGCGTCTATTGAATTTGCCGTACCCTGCAAGGATCCAGATGGCCCACAAGTTATGCTGCATCTGTGGAACTGTGTTAGTGTGTGCTTGCATAACTCAAACTGTGGGGACATAAATCTGTTTGCACATGTCGTATGACATAGACCTGCTTCCCTTCAACAACCTTTTTCTGCACCAGAATGGAAAGGTTTGGTCTGTGACTGTGAAATAAGTGATTTGAGTAAATGATAAGCAGGTGTCCCCAGGGATTAATGGAGCATTTTTAAATAAATGTTTTTTAATTTAGTGGACTGTATTATTAAACAAAAAAAACAGAAGGATGGTAAAGTTCAATTTGAGCAAGTATCATGGCTTAATTATTTTTGTGCTTTTCGGGAATTCTTTTCTCATTCTTTGCAGAAAGATATTCTGCTTCTGTGATAATATTGATCTGTTTTTCATTCAATGTCCTACTTCAATGTCCTCTACGCTTAAGTCTTTTAGGATATCAATATCTTAACCATATATACATCCAGAGGAAGAAAAGGAAGAAAATAGTGATACTGAATTGTACATTATGCAAGAAGCCAAACTTATATTGTACATGCAATGGCATTTATAATTTTACAGAGTATCTGGAGTTGTAAACAGGAAGTAAGGACATTCGTGAAATGTGATGGTATTTCGGCCACTATTCTGTTTCTCACTCACGTTAAAGGATAACAGTGGCTTAGTTTTCAAGTGGTGACCAGATAAAGGGCTGCCTTTAATGAAGTAGCTTTAAAAAGGTTATTGATTTTACATATAACACACTAGAATTGACCTATAACAGGACTGACATAAAGAAACTCAAATACACATGTACACACCTCCTCCATCTTGTATTCTCAAAGCCTGAAGTCAATTACCTCTCATCCTTCACCTCTGGCGCGGGGCTCATTACTCTGAGCTGCCACTGACAGAATTATTGTGAATGAAATCTGCAGTATATGACTTTAAGTAATCTGACCACAGCAATCTGTGATACTCTCATAAGCAGGCAGGGCATCATCTAAGGGTGATTTAAGGACACATGATACTCTTCTGGACTGTATTATTCAAAAACCTGTTCTATTTTTTATCAAAACAAATATCCCTCATCCTGCAATCACAGGTAGAAAATAAAATAAATACTGAGTCATAAAAAATGTAGGAAAAATAAGTGTTCAAAAGGATTGCAAGGCATTTGTGGTACATCTGTTTTTGAGTTGTGCGTCACATTTATCATCTTCCCTTCAACTGTATTATTCAGTGTGTCTTGGTCCTCACTGCTATTTCTGATCAGCACACACTCACTGCTCGGGTCGTAACAGTAATGCCTGTGAGAGTCCTCAACGGAGACGCAGAGAAACTATGAATATTTGAGCTGTACCTCCGAACCCCTGCTTGCTTTTCAGCATTCCAGAACTTTTTAAATGCGGGGATAAACAGTGGAACTTAAAAGCAGAGAAATACACTCTGTGTGTCTCAGAGAAATTGGCCTCAGGGAATGGGGATTAAATGTGGAGGTACTGTACCGTAACCCACTGTGTCAGAGTCACCACACAGGTTGACACCTCCTGTTTCACCTCATTGGCATTCTGCTGGCTCTCCTGCCCAGAGCCAACAGTAAAACTTAGCATTTGCATGTTGTACTTAAAGTCTGCATGTGTGTGTGTGTGTGTGCCGGTGTGTGTGTGTGTTAAAGAGCGATAGAAAAGCGTGTGTCCTAATTTAAACCTGTAAATGTGCATCATTTTCTCCGTATCTGCAAGAATGCAAGTTTTCATTGTTGTGAGTCTGCATTTGAATGCGGGTATGTGTGCTAGTGTGCTTTGTGGCTGTGTGAGTGTGTGTGTGTGTGTGTGTGTGTGTGTGTGTAAGCTCCAGATAGCAAGGTTACATTCACTCCTTCTGATGACTTCGGACATGTAGGTGGGTTGAGCAATCACCCTTGTGAGACACGCTCAATCAGGACCCGCGCGCACACGCACGCTAACACCAACACGTGCGCACACATCCATGCAATCAATCTCATGACGCGTGTCTGGAATAAGAAACGGTGCATGTGTGTGTGTGTTTTTAGAGTGGATTAATAGTCTTTCCATGAACCAACTGAGGATGTTTTTTATCTCATCATCCACCCACTAAATAGATAAATGGGTAAAAGAAAGTCAATCTTCTTTTTAATATCACCAAAATTATCCTTTTTGAGGCATTGTGTATTTAAGTTAAAGGTTGAATTTTATCCATGCAATTCTTCTTAGTGGCCTTCCCAGATGACTAATATGTAGAAAGAAGGTTATTTTAATTCTGTAAGTGATTACTTATACACATTTTCTAATGCATTGCGATCATTTGGGTAATTTTCCTTCCAGATAAAGTGAAATAGTCCCTGCTTATAATTGTATTTACAAGAGGGAGGAACTAATGGTTTTCCAGTCAATTTAATATTCTACATGCATCTGTAACTCTTGGAATGTTACATTTTATGCTGAAATTTATCTCACAGTTGCAGTTTTACTCACCAAGAGGCATATAATGTCCGAAGGCTGCTTTGTATATTTGGTCACTGATGATGGATCAGTGTTGCCAAACAGGATAATTTCTTTTTACCATAGCCAAAATACATTAGGCAGAAAGAAAACATTCCCACATCTATCTAAGAACTCTTGATGAACAGCATTTACACTCTTACCATTTTAAAAATGTAAGGCTGTGCTGTTCAAAGTACAAATGTGAATGTTTGGAAGGTTCACACTGGCTGCTTTCATCCTATATGTTTGAATATCACTGTCTGGAATCAAAGGGCCGGTTTCTTAAATTGATGAATCATGTTTTGCATGAAGATAAGATGGCATACACACACACAATGCCTCATTCCATTGACGGCAACACATCAACTTGTTACGAAAAAGAAGATGAAAACTCTTAACATCTTGAAGGAAATTGAATAAACTCGAGGCTGATAATCTGCACTCAGCAACTGAATTCCTTTTCTTTGCACAATGTAGATTTTCCTTGTCCGGGGGATCTCAAGGCCACCCATCTGTTCGGCAGCGGAGCGTGGGTGGGGCGGGGGTGCACTGAATCACCACGCATGGTTTCTGTCTACACTATTGATTTTGTGTGCTGGTGTGCGAGTGTGGGTCTACTTGCTGAGTGTATGTGGCATCTGTGTGTGTGTGTGTGCTTGTGTGTGTATGCAGGTTAGATTTATGGTGTTGATGGTGGTTGTATATTAGAGTCATGATCAGCTAACTGAGTCCATTCTGATGGCTTGCATTGCCCCAAGGCTCCAGAAAAATGATCCAGACCGTGTCTGTGTGTATGTGTGTAAGTGTGTGCATGTGCGTGTTGGTTGTGAGTGGATATGTTAACATAATTATCACTATCAGATCCATATGCATGTAACATCCTGACATTAGTGGTTTATTGTTATGAATAAGATCTAATAGCCTTTGTTCATTTCCTCTTTCCTCTATTACTCTCTAGGTCATCCTCTGGTTCTTTCTTCCTTCCCTTGATCACCTCTTGACTAATCCCTTTTTTCCCCTCACTCAGTCAACCTCTGTCATTCTTATTGCCCTCTTGCTCACTTGTGTTTTTATGTTTTGTTGTTTTGTTTTCCAGAAACGAAACCACAAGTTTCCCAAATCAATAAAGATTAAGGGATGGTGTAATGTATTAGCTGTATTATGCAACTGCCCTTGTCTGTTGTTTACATCTGAGTTGCTTTCTATTTCTTACAAACTAATTAATTGTTTGTTGTTTTCACAACAGTGTAACATAGCTAGTTGGAAACATTTTGGAACAGAAACATAAAAGTTTGGAAAGGCCCAAATAATTCTAAAAGCTTTGACTGAAGAGTCCATTCATTACAAGATAACACATCTCTGCATTTTATATTAGGTGTAAACATTGAAAAATTGAAATGTAAAATTGAAATGTAACCATGGCCCCATGAAACAATTCAGAACCTTGTTTTAACAAATCCATGTTGATGTGTTACTTTCAACTACCACTAACACTATTATGCACATGTTGGGCTGATAGCGGGTATTGTGCTTATCTAAAAGGAAAACTGAAGTAGTAAACTATCTGAAAAGATTTTTTATATTAATTCTCAGTGGATCTGTTTGATATAGATGTCTACATTTGGAAAAATTGATGTACTAACTTGACTCCTAGCTGTGAGCACTGCACTTTTGTGTGAGGAAACCAGAGGAGCTCCATCCTTCCTGTTTTTTGAGCAGACCAGCTGCCTCCACAGCTCAGCCTCCTGTGAGCGTGTCTGTGTGTGTGTGTGTGGCTGATTGATGTTGATGCACTTGAGAGGGGCTGATCTATTCTTCGATGGAGCTCATAAAACTGTATGGTTGTAGCCTACAAACAACGATGGAAATTCTTTTAAAAATCATGCAAACTATGTGTATGTTTACAGGCTCAGAGGTTTGGCACCCAATGTGTAAAGAAGCAGCTCGGCTGGAAAGAAAACTGAGGGTGAGTGTTACTCAAAATCCCTGATGCTACCACGTTAGAAAATAAGATTCAGTCCCATCCTGAGCTCACAATCCTTGTCTATAACAAACTATGCAGGCCACACTAAAGTAGGTAGTCATTTTTACAGTTTCTTAAGTGAATGTCCGAAACCAAATAGGTGCTGCAGAAAGGTACACAATTCTACCTGGAAAAAAACTTGCTTTACAAATATTAAAAGGATGATGAAAGAATGCTTTTGACATTTTTAAAGCTCAATAACTTGTGAGACCAGATATTTAATACTTTTTTTTGGAGTTGATAGCTTGATATAAACAAAACTCAATGTCAGGGAATGCTGTATTGGAGCACATTTCACACATTTTCACACGCTCTGGCTCTTATTTTTGACCCACCAGCTGAGACGCACCTCTGAGACGGCGTCCATTTCTCCCACAGGCTCGTCTCCTCTGCTGGGCTCCCCCCACCGGCTCATCTGCGTGAGTAGCTGTCAGCACGCTCAGGCCCTCAGCCGTCACTGTCACAGACATCACTCAACATCTCACCAGCATAGACAGAAGTGTTAAGAGTCTCACTTTTTGTCCGTCAGTCTCACCGCCTGAGTTTCTGGACATGTCAGAACTAATGGACTGAATATACTTTTATACTAACTTTGACCTAGAATTAGTTTTTCTGCGGTCATCAAGTCTTTCACGTCCACGACTCAGTCCCTGCTTGGTATCCTGTTTGTGTGTTTGTGTATCTTCATATGTGTCTCGTACAGTCTAAGGCTGACAGTGATGTTTTGGACTATAAACAGCTGGCAGCTCTGCCCAGGGTCAAAGCTATATACGACGTCCAGCGCCCTGACATCATCCCCTATCAGGCTGACCACCCGCACTCCCAGCTCTCAGTCGACACTTTGGAGAGATACAACTGTGGACAGGTACACGTGCACATACACAAACAAGTTGATTCTCGAGATCTACTTAGAAAAAAAAGGAAAGAAACTTGTCTTGGATCACTAACCGTTTTCTCCTTTCTTCTTATCCAGTCGTTGGGATCCTTATCACCATATTCTCATGTAAGTACTTTATCCAACAGTCTTTAATGTCTATTTGATGGATGTATTTGTAGGTTATTCCAGTAAATGGGCAACAACTCATATGAAATGTGTAATCAAAGAAAAACACTTACTGCGTCAGTCAACCTTGAAATAACTTTAAGACAAAGTCCTTGAATGTCAGTCAAAGTGTCAGAATGCCTTAAAAATACAAATTTACTGAGAACTGATTGCTTTAAAGAAAGAAAGACTGCCAGTAATTCTTTTTGTTAAGGCTGATGTGTCCTTATTGGTAGCAGTATGTAGTCCAAGTTCTGAGATTTTTTTTCTCCAAATTTGCACCATGTTTCTGAGCTGCAAGCTGATTTTAAGTCTAATAAGTAGTTAAAGAAGTGGTTTTATTAGTCCCATTAGCTTTTTAGTTTTAGTGTATTTTGTTCAATGAGAATCCATCTCATTGTTTCTGCATTTTTCCACTCCATAGTTTATGGCTTTAGTATAATTTCAAATCTTTAATTGTTCGAATTCCCCTGAAATTCTCATTTATGAGCTAAAACCCCAGAATCAATTCTCCTCACTGACATTCTAGTTTAAAGAGATAAACAGTAGTGGCTTGGGACCGTGGAGGAATGCTGAGACACACAAGATATAACATATACAAGACGCAGGGTATTAAACTGCTGTCAACATGATTAAAAGCGCCGGGCAGACCTGCGAGATATATACCGCTTTTGGTGAGCTGAAGCGCATTACACTGAGACGGCACCTCTCTTTTTTCCTCCCAGGATCTATTGGACAGCGTGGAACTGAGAACGAGGCGCTCCTCCAGCTCCGCCTTCACCGACTCCCCCACACACAGTCGCCACGGAGGGTCCCCGCTGCATTATTATCTCCCCGGTAATGTGCCCATTCAGGCGTACAGACATACAGGAGGCCCCTTATTTCAGATACACACTTGCACAGGTTCTTTGAGCTGTCGGAGCGTGTCGAGTCCAGAGACTTCGGCTCGCATGCTTGTAACGCTGCAGGTTGTGTGTCGGTGTGTCGTTCATTCGCCTGTGTGTCTTTTCTGTTTGGGGGACGCGGGGGGGCATTCATGCTTTGGCTTCTCTCGCTGTCCTCACCCGGGCTGACCGCAGGCAGCGAAAGTGGCAGGAGTTCACCCTATTACAGTCAGCCAGAGCCCAGGTGTACCACACCCACCACCTCCACTTTCCAAGCCCCCAGGCATTTCCATGTGCCAGGTAGGCCGCCACGGAAAACCCAAACCCCTGACCTGCCTACTAACACCAATCACCTACCCCCTGACGACTCATATAAACCTGAAGTAGATTCTTTAACATAGGTATTATGGTAGGTAATTGTCTCAAACATTGTTACCAATATCGGAAACCCAACATTCTGTAGGTTTTAGAACTAGTTATCCTCTCTGTACTTCCAGTGAATCGCAGATTCTGTGATTTATCTTGCTAGTCTGAAGCTCCTCTATAGGATACGACCACTGTCAGCTAATGCAGGCTCATTTGATTTCATCGGCCCACAAACCCTCCATTTAATCAATTTAATGCCCACTTCCTTTCTGTATGTCTCCCACCCTGGTTCCTTTTGGCTTTAAAAGGCTTCATGTTTTAAATGCAAGTGCATCTGATTTCTCTCCATCATCTCCTCCGCCTGCCCCTCAGTTCGGTCCGATGCAGGTTTCATCTTGCTGTTTTTGTTTTTCTTTTTTCTTCTGGGACTCTGTTTTTCCTTTGCCAGCTCTGCTCCTTTCATGCTTTTTGAGAGTGAGCAAAATGTTTCTGGCACAGGCTTTTATACGAAGTGCATCACCACAAGGGCATCCAGATTTAGCATGGATGGCCCACTGGGAGACAAATCTCCAACTAAGTAGGATTGGTGGCAATGTTTATGTAAACATATATATATATATATATATATATATATATATATATATATATATATACAGTATAAATTGCAGGACAGAAATATTCCTTGGTAAATAGTTGTTGTGCTCTCTGACAATCAGTATACAAAAGTTTAATGAAGAAATTCTTCAGCTAATGAAGGCCACAAGAAGTGTTCTCCTTCTTTGTGTTATCCACTTCCTCCTTCTCCACCCTTGAGCAGCCCTCTCCCAGTCCTCTTTTCTCCTGTGCCATCTGCCGCTCTTTTATGTCTAACGCCTTTGAATCAGCCTCTCTGCATGTCAGTCAGGTTGTCTGGATGCACGGCACCACCTCCGCCACAGCAGTTTATTACTTGCGCTGTCAGCTTTATGGCTCAGAGGGCTGTTAGTGGATCCAGCTAATTTGGTGGGATTGAATGAATAAAGAGGGGTTGCCGATTAGTCCCCTCCTCCTCTCCTCTGAAACCTTCTTTTTGCTCTTTGTCACTAACTGTGATATTTTTTCCCGTCTGCAGCTTCTGAGGACACAAACATATACAGGAAACCTCCCATCTATAAGAGACAAGGTTTGTCAGTTTCTTCCAAACGGACGTAATCAGAAATAGCTTTTTGTGAGAGAGCCTGGACAGACTTGAGCCAGAAGCAATTTGCTGTGTACAAATAGACTGCCAGTGGATAATGTGAAAAGAAGATCAGTTTTCAAAACACACCTCAAAGTCAGTATTTCTCTTTCTCTTTTCGGTTCGGCGTAAAAGTGGTAATCACAGAAACAAGCTCTCAACTTCCAGAAAACTAGTTTGATGGCTTTCTCTTTCGACTCTTGCCATAAATTAAATATGGTTGAGATTTCAAAATAATGTTCAAAGGAACAATGTGGAAGAAATGCAACTTAGAGTTAGAGTTACTAATAGGAAACCCTAACATAAACATATGTAAGCACAACATAAGTCAAATTTTGGTCTGACTGATCTTAACCAGAACTTTGGAATTTAGGGGCTTAAGGATGATATAAAGCTTGATAGTTCTCGCGAGTCAAAAATGACGCAACAGATTGCACTGATGATTCAAGAGGTGAAGTAACGCTGAGAGAAGCAGTGCCAACCACTGAGTGCACAGCTTATTTATCCGCACAGGGGTGGCAGGTCTCACAGAGTTACCGTTCCTCGGAAAGTCCTCTGCAGGATTTACACCGCTCAGTCAGACCAAGGAGAGGGGTTTGTCAGCATTTTATTGCACAACCTATTATCTGGGCAGTGTGGATGGATGTAAATTTGCAGGATGAGTCATGTTTCAGAGGAGTTCTCATAGTATTGCAGAAGACTAGAATGATACCGTAATATATGTGATTTTCTGTGTACAAAGGACTCATGGGTCAGTGGTGTGAGTCCTGCAATTCTGCAAAAACATGGACATTTCTGGTCCAAATTAAACATTTTGTTGTAAACGGTACAACAGAAAAGCTATTTTTGCCATTCAGCACAACTCACATCTGATTTTTATTTATTGTTTTTTAATTCCAGTGTTTCAAGCGAAAGCTATTCTGTGGAGTTCTCACACATTTACATCACGTTACAGTATTTGTTCAACCCAGGACTCTCCCTATTGCAGCGCAAGACACTTTCCATGTAACTGGTCAAATGTTTGCTTTGAAAATGTTTTAATGGTTTGAGTTCTTCCTGAGTTATGTGTCAGTATCACTTACTCTTCTGAACTTTCCCATGTGTGATTATTCAAGCCCATCTGCTGCTCTAGTATTTACAGCCATGTCACAAAATGTGTAACAGCTACAGTGGTTCAGAATGCAAAACATAGTTATTTAATAAGATTATGGGATTATGGCTACATTTTTAGCCTTCCTGTAACATTCAGCTCACACTGAAACCCAGCACAATGTAATATGGGGAAAGTTAAGTTCTGTAAACCACCTCGAGATGCAGGAAATACAGCTTTAAAGCTGAGCTCATCCTGCCACAAATAGTGCAGTTCCGGCCCTAGCTGCCGCAGTAGAGATGGTAACAGGTCGGTTTGGAATTGAAGATTGCACAACTGTAATCAGGTATGCATTAGGTTTACTGACTGAAAAATAATCTAATAAGTGAGAAGCATCTGACAAGCAGGGAACAAGCAACAAATGAACACGACGGAGATTGTTAAAAAGTGAAAGAAAGACGAAACCGTGGACAAATGACTACACATTATTACACAAATCGATAAGAAACGTGGTCAGATGTTAAATATTTAACAAAAGGTCTCTTGCACATCTTTCACTATTTACTGCTCTGCCTTTTATTGTCTGCATTGTTAGAACCCTACACTGACAACCCTGTGTGAACATTTCTGTGATCTTTCTGTTGTCTCACCCCTCACTTGACAAGCAAATTATTCATAAATCAGTCAGTTAGCAAAAATGACAAACAACAATCTGGCTTTATTGACATCTTTATACAAAACATCTATTTGCATTTTCATGTCTTTCAATCCCAGTTATTCATTTTCGCCTGCAACCAGCCTGAAATAATTCAAAAAGAGATACGCCAGTGTACTTTTTGTAAAATGTTTTTTTTCATCTTTTCATCAGATATACCAGCCTCGCCAACAGTGAATAGGAGTAAGACCAATGAGAATCTCATTCATTCCAGTCGCATTTCCACCGCTAATTGTAACAACCTTTATCACACGGACTCCAACTACTATCCTTATAGTGGCTCTCCTAAAGGTATACCGCCTTGATTTTTTTCTCTTTTACCTGAACACAACATGCACTAAATGCACAACAGGGTGAATCTGCATTTTTCAACCTAGCAGTGCCTGAGGGGTTTAATGACTTTATGAGTTATTTTAAAAGGGAAATTTTAAACGTCAAAATTTCCTTTGATATTCACTTTTCTCCTCTTCTTACTTGTTCTCTCTTCCCCTCTTTCCTTCTTGCTCTTTCCATTTCTGTCTAGTCTCCAGGGTTAGGAGGTTCTCAACTGGAGGAGAGGAGGATGGATGGAATCACAACATAAACAGGGTGAGACACTAGGATATTCTCCCACATATCCCTTTTATAGCGTGAGTGTTGATGTTTAATAATCCATATAATTAAATGGTTCTATCTAACGTCCCCCACTGGTCATGGCCAAAAGTGAGGCTCCTATGCTCATCTCCTTCCGTTTCACCGGATGTTCTGCCCTTTCAAACAACAGCCATGATGTTTTGGTCTCATCCCGCCTAATTCCAACACCATCTATCAGCTTGTGCATCTGTCCCAGCCGATTATTATTACTCCATCCATCACTCTTTTTGCATCCTTTTTCCCACTGTAATTTTGTTGTCCTCCCCTCTGATGATCTTTTCTTTCCCCCCCTCACAGGGGATTGGCAGAATGATCCTGAAGGAAGAGATGAAGGCCCGATTAGGGTGTCACGATAATGACCAGTGGGGGAACAGACGCACTTCTCAGTGTAACAGCAAAGAAGCGCTCAACAATCTGGAATATAGCTCCCTCAATGGCTGTGAGTTTCTCATCTTCAGTTTTCTTACTTTTCGATGTCAGTAAGATTTTTAATTCTTCATCCAAGTAAATGCTTAGGAAAAGACAGATACATGTTTTTTAAAAAGCTCCTCAACTGCAAAATTAAAATTGGAAAATAAATGCCAGTGATACATCCATCCATCCATCCATCCATTATCAATACCGCTTATTCCTTCATGGGGTCACGGGGGGAACTGGAGCCTATCCCAGTGGTCAACGGGCGAGAGGCAGGGTACACCCTGGACAGTCCGCCAGTCCATCGCAGGGCCAAACAACCACATACACTCACATTCACTCCTAAGGGGAATTTCCCCAATCTCCAATCAGCCTAACATGCAGGTTTTTGGACTGTGGGAGGAAGCCGGAGAACCCGGAGAGAACCCACGCAGACACAGGGAGAACATGCAAACTCCACCCAGAAAGGTCCTGGTTCCCCCGGGATTCGAACCCAGAACCTTCTTGCTGGGAGGCGACAGTGCTAACCACCACACCACCGTGCCGCCCTGCCAGTGATACATAGCCTGGCAAATAAAAGCATTTTATTAAAGCACATTAGTTTAAGGGCACAGTTTTTAAAAGACACGCTGTTCGGATTGAACACAGTCTGGTTTTTGTTTTTTTTCCTTATCAGTTAAGTCATAAATATCTTAGTGACTCTTGAACTGAGATTTTTTTATTAATGATTCCCAAAAGAAAGATTTTACAGGAAAATGATTCCCTGATTTTTAACATAGCTATATCAATGTTTATTTTTCAATTATTCACTTATTTCAGTTATTATATATATATATTTTCAGTTATATTGTATCTTTCATACTTTATCCTCTACACACATTTGGAATTTTCATATTTAACTGAAACGTAAACCAATAGCTTTGGTGATCAAGTGACCTTTACTAAGTGATGGTGATGGGGACATGGATTCAATTTAAATCTATTAGTTTTAATAACGTCTAGCCCCACAGGCAGGCAGAACAGTATAATAAACGTCCTTTTTGAAATAAACTTAAGGTGCTCTTGACAGGAACAAAATAGCCTCTGACCACAGCAGGACACAACCAGAGTCACTGCAAGAATCCTCCGACAAATAAACAAACCCGGAGGGAAGTACTGAATTAATATGGAGCAGATGTGACTGCCAGTAACAGAAACCTGGTGTGAGTAAAGAGCAGGAAGCAAATCAAACCGGACTGAACAGCAGGAGCAATAACTACCAAATAAAACAGATAGCAGGGTTAACCAGAATCCACCAAAGGACAGAAACTAACTGGAAACAGACAGCAGAAAAGCATGACAAAAAAAAAAAAAAACCCAAATTGAATTTATTTGGAGGGTGTAGACTAAACATGCTGTGACTCTAAAAGGGTAAAAGGACAGACACAAAAACCCATGAACAAGATGTCCCAACAAATATTAGACTGTTCCCTTTTAAATTTGATCATTATGAATGTTTAATTCAGGAGCCACTCTTAATTTTGAGGATCATCTTTCCTTGCTTATTTTCATACATTCAAAAGGCAAATTACTTGTATCTCCTTTCGCTCAAACTGAGTTAACGGACAAGTTGTTTCACATCAACTGTAGGAAATGTCTTTCGAGGTCATTTTTAAGTTGAAAATAAAGGTTCAAATCTGAAATCAAGTTGCCTCCTTAGAATGAGGAAGGTGAGTTTTGTTGTGAGGCTAACTATGCAGCTTTGGGGGAGTTTCTCGACTTTTTCATTTACCTCTCCATTGATCTAATTTGTCACTGCCTTCCGTAGCTGTGCGGTGGGAGACTAAGATGGAGAGACTCAAAATAGATATGGTGGGGAGTGAGTTTGTTGTAGGTGGAGACAAGATGGGAATAAAAGAAAGGTCTTATCACAGAGACAAAATGAGGGAATTAAAAGTTACCGTCATTAGGGGCTGATCAGAGAAGATGAACGACAGGAGGCCTGGGGGTGAATCAGGGTCAGAGAGTCAGAAATTAGCTCTGTGCATAAAGGAGTCACAAAAAGAGACACGTGCATAATCATTATGGCTTTTACGACGTCTGCTGTTCTGACACTGCATATAAAAATCATATATGTCCCTTAGAGAAAGTTACGATCGAAAAGTGAAGGCGCGACGGGGATCATTGTTCTTTTGGTGGCAGTTATTTCTGTTCGCCTGGTTCAATTTATGAGCATGCGGTGGCCCTCTCGAGTATAATCCCACTGTTACTAAAGTCGCTGTTACTGACAAGTTAACAGCAAAAGACACGCTGCAATTAAAGGGCTGCTGCCCACTTTTGGTCCTGGTTACAGGAGGTGTGCAGAGGTGGTCAGTAGAGCATTCTTACTGCAAAGGTAACGTTAGTGTGGGGATCTCTAGTGATAGACGTTTTGAATCCAGCACCCTTGAATGTCTTCATAAACGCTGAAAATAATCAAACTTAACCTAGTTTTTGCATGGTCTTTGAGTTACTCTTTCAAATTAGAGGCTAAAAATAGGCTAAATTCTTCTGTATAATTGACGTTAAAATGTGGCAAAGCTCAAAAGCCAATTACTGCAGGAATATTATTGCATGTATCATGTGTATGATAAAATAGGTTCAAATGACTGAGAAAACTCACAAAAACTCACAAAACTCAGTGTTTGGATGCCAAACACATACATTTTTAACTTGAGTCTTGTGAGTATAAACCCAGCAGATGCCGCCTGGCGGTGCCCACGGTGCTTCATATTTTATATGTCGCGAAGGTCTTGATGGTGATTATTTTTGCATGTTGACGCTGTGAGGGACATATCTGCATACAGCTGATGTTTTATAGATATCCCACAGCAGCTGAATCTTTCATTTCCCCATCCATGAAAACTTTTACCGTGCGGACGATTTGTTAACGCTATTGAAAACAGTAATAGCAATAGGAACTGACCTGCATCACATGCAAAAACACAAGCTGTCGAATAATATTTAAAACATGTCATTTGCAAGCTGTAAAGAGCATCAGGTTTCACAGAGCAGGTGAAGGTGGAGGAACAGACACCTGCAGATCTCTCTGTTGTAGAGGCAACCTCAGCAATCGAACTGACGACAAATGAACCAAAGACTTGAAGACGTTTTTGTTCTTGCAGTTAATCCATCACTTAAATTATACCTTTTTCTCTGACTTTGTCAAGTTTTTTTTTCCATTTTTATATTGTAATGAATTATTCTAAGGCCTCTACCTCTGCTCAAGGCTTTGGTTTACACTTTTAGCTAATTTTTTAAATAAGGTAACGAGCCTTCCAAGTGGTATATTTGAGGGTGTGAACAAAAGATCCATCAAATTATTCAGTTTAACTGTACATTGTGTTTTCAGTGAAGTGTTCCTGGTGTCTACATTTGTTTAAGATATTTTTTTCTAATTATCAGTACAGCAAAGTTCACAAACTCAAAAATATCTTCTTTTTTTCCGTCTCTGCCCTCAGCTCCCAGGTCCTGCTGCAGTGCAGACAGCGGTGAGTGTTTCATCGATGTGTTTTGATCCCTGCTCTCATCCCAGGAGGGAGGTGACACAGTGAACTAGTGCCCCC